TTATTTTGGAAACCATGACATTTTTAAGGCAATAGAGCCACATGACCCTGGGTAACAAGAGGTAAGAAAAGGCCCTTAGAGATGGCATGGATGAGAGCTCATTCACCAGGAAAGGTCCAAAAGCCAAGAATGGAAGAAAAAAAAAAAAAAACCAACCCAAAACAAAACAAAACAAAACAAAAAACCCAAATCCAAAAACCAAAAACAAAGGAAAAGCCAAGCTCTATTAAAAACAGACATTATCTGTTCCCACTTTCAGGGGGGTATTTGTACACACAGCAAAATAAATAATAAATAACAATAAAAAGCAGTTAAGCCTTTTTTTTTTTTAACCAATCCTGGAGCTTGAATTCAGGGCCTGGGCGCAGTCCCTGAGCTCTTTTTGCTCAAGGCTGGTGCTCTACCACTTGAACCACATAGCTCCATTTTGGGCTTTTTCTGTGATTAATTAGAGATAAGAGTCTCGCAGACTTTCTTGCCCGGCCTGGCTTTGAACTGCGATCCTCAGATCACAGTCTCCTGAGTAGCTAGGATGACAGCAGTGCGCCACTGGTGTCTGGCTAGCATTTAAGTCTTGAATCCACAGCAAGCACAGCCCTTTTCCCCCTCAAGGGACCACAAGGGTATGAATGCTGCCCGGCCACGTTGTGAAATAGAAGACACCTAATTTCTTCTGGTAGACTTTCAACTTGGCTTGTAAAATTTCAGTGGAACATTGTAAAACATCTACAAATAGAATATACTAGAAAGGGGCTGGGAATGTGGCTGAGTGGTAGAGTGCTTGTCTAGCATACATAAAGCCCTGGGTTCGATTCCTCAGTACCACATAAACAGAAAAAAGGTGGAAGTGGAGCAAAAAGAGCTCAGGCCCTGAGTTCAAGCCCCAGTACTGGCACCGCTCCCAACAACTGACTCAAGAGGACACATGTACAGGAAATGTGACGTCAATATTTGAAGTCACGTCTGGGAACCTTCTAGAAACATTGTCCTTCCCAGAAGTGGCCAGATCCGAAGGGGAACTATATTCTCCCACCAGAGCAGCCGGCAGGACCTTCTGCATCCCCTTTCCTGCACCACAAAAGAGCCCTGAAGTACAGAGCTCATCCGGGAACTCTGCGGCCCAGGTGTGACCACAGCATGGTTGCTAATAATTGCCGTCTCCGGCCTGCTGCACCATGACGGTCTCTGGGTAGGGACCTCGTCTCATGAGCTCGTCCGAGCCACGTGAAACATGCTGTGGATGAACAGATAGCTGGTGAATACCGCGTCACAATGCGCCCTCTCTTCCCAGCTGGGAACGCTGTTTGGAGGCAGGGGCTCTCGCAAGGGACAATGGCTGCTCTTAACCATGTGGACTGAGCCACATGGGTGTGAGCTCCCGGCAGGGGCCACGCTGAGGCTGGGGCCCTTCCACGCGGCCAGAGGAGCAAGGCTGCATCCCGGGTACACCCCAACTTGTCGGGGTGCATGTGTCATCAGAGGGTGGGCTGGGTGAAAGTAACTTGGATCTGGGTCACCGTCTATAATATGTATATACTTTATACACAGTCGGTATAGAGAACATTATACTAGGTAGAGTATATACATATATACTGTACATATTATATATACTTTATTATATAATATATACTGTGCTATACAAGGTATATGTAATATACCATATATAAAAATGCATACAATATACTGTAACCACAACATGGTTTCTTATATTGGTTTCTAATAATATGATTTCTAGTAATATGCTATCTGTATATTATATGCAGCATATATTATAAAATATATAATTACTATGATATATCATGTAATATATGATATACACTGCATAATATACATATATAATATATATCTATTACATAATGTATATTAGAATATACTATATATTATGTTATAGTATATTTTATACAGTATATATTATATAATATTCTTTTGTTAGGTTTTCTTCCATTACAATGGACTGCTATTTTTTAACTTTCATTTTTATTGTCTTTATGTAGTTGTACAAAGGTTTCAATTCAACATGTCAGTTGATGGGTACAATGCATTTTGTTCAGTGCAATAGACTGTTTTAATTCTTTTTGTCTTAAAAAAATAAAACCTGGCAGACAGCAGGAGGAAGAGAAAAGATTTGCATATCCAGTTTTAGACATTTCCCGTTGGCTGTTTTCACATTTAAAATAAGAAACGAACCAAATGTGCATTGATGTCTCCTTGACCTGGGCATCTAAGTGTTTTTTTTCCTGAATGTGCATTGAAGCATTAGGAAGTTGTCTGTGTCGCTGATCAGAGCGATGGTCATGAATCAGGGCTATCTACAGTGCCAAAACCACCTGTCCCACAGCTTCAGAGCGTGAAGCAGCTGTCTGGCATGATATGACTAAAAGAATCAGTACAAGCTGGGAATCAGCACACCTGTCATCATGGCTACTCAGGAGGCTGAGGATCATGGTTCAAAGCCAGCTTAGGCAGGAAAACCTGCGAGACTCTTATCTCCAATGAACCACCAGAAAACTAGGAGGGTGCTGTGGCTCTTAAGTGGAAGAATGCTAGCCTTGAGCAAAAATGCTCCGGGACAGTGCCCAGGCCCTGAGTTCAAGCCCCAGGACAAAAACAAAACAAAAATCTGTCCAGCTGGTGCTGGTGGCTCATGCCTGTAATCCTAACTACTCAGGAGGCTGAGATCTGAAGATGGTGGATGGAAGACAGCCACTGCACACACATTCCAGAGCCTCTTATCTCTAGTTAACCACTGAAAAAGCCAGATGTGGAGCTGTGGCTCAGGTGGTAGAGTGTTAGCCTTGAGCAAAAAAAATCCAAGTAACAACATCAAAAGCCCCTTAGGAACAGTATCTAGGCCGTGAGTTCAAGCCCTAGCATTGTCTCACACACACACATCAAAAGAACCAGTCCAAATACAGCTGCCACAGATCCTCTTGATGAGAGATGTTTTCTAAACGACTTTTTCCCCTTTAGTAACAACTCCCCCCCACCAAAAAAGACCCCCCACTGGTCCTAATTAGGGATATGAATATTAGCAATCATCACACATCGAAACTATCTTGTTTGGCACGAGAAGTACAACCTTGAAACTATTTCTTCAAGATTCCATTCCACACATAATTTTCATTGAAGAACCCACGTAAGCAAAACTCGATTCAATTATGGCACACTCCCCGGGCTGTGCAATAGTGACCATCCACAGCAAAAACAAACACCACCACAAAGAGGAATTACACAAGGAGATAATCAGTTATTTTATTATAGTTTGCCAAGTAAGTAAAAAAAAAAATCCCCTCCCCATCTTTTTTTTTTTTTTTTTTTTAAAGTTTTAAACTTTTTTGCTTTTGCTGCTCTTTATGTTGGAAAGGGGGGTGGGGAGGAGGGAGAGGAAGCCTTCTTTCCGGAGAGCCCGGCTCAGTTCAGCTGGGTGAAAGAGAGGACCCACTTCCTGAATTCTCTGAGGATACGCGGACCCGACGGAAGCCAGGCGCCTTCTCCTTTCTGAGGATTTCAGGGGGCACTGATCTAAAGGTGTGCCAGCATCCTCCCCTCTTCCCTTAGGGAGGCGGGACGGGTCCGCGTGGTTCTTGGCCAAGGTTGGGAGTCTCCAGAGGTAATTGGTAGGAAGAGGCTGAATATTGCTGTTCAAAACAAGGGAGCTAAGGACACAGTCTCTGGTTTTGATTTTCCTCAGGAAGTGTAGGAGGCACCAAAAACAAAAACAAAAAAACAAAAACAACAAAACAGTGACCAGGCTGCCCCCCTTCCCTGGGGTGGGGGAGCCGGAGGGCCGCGACTCCCTGCCCGGTGGAGGCGACCCCCCTCGTTCGCAGGGAGCCCCTTTACCTGGCTGAACCCAGATGTGGTGGAGGTGGGGTGACTTCCTTCCTTCAGCCCTTAACTTTTGGAAATTTGGGGTGTGTGTGTGTGGCCCCGGCCAGGTTCAAAGCTGCCTAGTGGGGGCTCAGGCCCTTTTCTCTGCTGGGGTTGGGGGGGGTGTCCATGTGATTCCACTCCCTACGGGGGAGCCCCTAGCCGACACGGGTCCACTGTGGGGTGTCTTGGCAGGAGGAATGGGGGCAGGGTGGCGTGTTTGCTCCCCGGGGTGGGGGTGGGGGTGCCCATCCGCATCAGGAGTTGCAAACTTGGCTCTGGCCCCCCCCCCCCCGTGTCGCTTTGGAAACCGGGTGGGCGGCCTCCGCCTCACCACGCCCTGCGAGGTAGGTTGTCCGGTGCCTGCTCTACCACGGCTGGGATGGCAGTGTGTGAATGGGGTTCGAGCCGGGGGTGGGGGTGCTCTGTGTGTGGGGCAAGGGAGGTTTTATTTATTTTTTTGCTTATGGAATGAAGTGGTGTCATCCTAAAGGGCCACAGTGCGCACGCGCGCGTCCTGCCCGGTTCAGGTGTCTGTCTGTCTGTCTGGACGTCCGAGGTGTGTGCGTGTGTGTGGGGGGGGGGGACACAGCTGGCAGAGGCTCCGCCCCAGCCGGAGCCGCGCTTGCGCGTTGGGGCCTCCCCACCCTCCCCCGCTGGGTGCTAACCAAAACGCACGCGTGGGGATCGCTGTCTGGCAGAGGTCGGAAGAAGAAGAAAAGGAAAGAAGAAGGAAAAAAAAAGGGAAAAAAATAAAAGCATGTAAAACACTCCCTTCTAAAAACAAAGGGCTGCGAATTTCTTTATTTTTCTCGTATAGAGGAACAAAAATACTCTTGCAATGGCTGTTGAGTTTCCACAGGTACGAGGCAGATGCTAGGCTAGCAAACCCACTTTCCAACAGTATGACTTATTTCCTATCCGTCTACTACCTGAGTGGCGTCAGTGTAGGTTCAGGCACCATTAGGAACGTTTACCAAACACGTACACGGGGCACTGACAAGGAGGAGGCGCCGGCCTTTTCGGTGGACCTGGGCATGTAAAAAAGACACACCGACAGAATGGGGGGTGGGGAGGGGGGGAGAAAAGAAAGAGAGGGGGGGGGGATCGTGGCGGGGGGGGGGGGGCGCTCAGGGCCGGGCCCCGCGCGTCTCGCGCCGGCGCCGCAGCTCCTCGCGGTAGCAGTAGGAGCAGTAGTGCTCGGTCTCCGCGCGCCCGTAGAACGCGCAGTTCTCGCGCTGGCACCGCCGCTGCGCCGGCCCGGGCCCCGCGCGGCCTCCGCACTCACCGTTCGAGCGCGCGGCCGGCGCGTCGGCGTCGGCGAACTCCAGGCCCTCGCGCCCGGCGCCGAAACCGTTGGTGTAGGTCTGCGACTTGTGATCGGTCGTCCCTGGGCCGGTCCCGGTCACGCCGGGGAGGGTGCCCGGCACGGCGCGCGCCAGCGACTCCACCGTGTTGACGGTGCGCAGGGTGGTGGTGGTGGCGGCGGCGGAGGCGGCGCGCGCCGGGCTGTAGCTCTGCGACGACAGCGATCGGTTCTGTTGCGGGTACGTGGCGCACGGCCGCAGCGCGCCCACCGCCGGGGCGCACGCCTCGTCCCGCGCGCCCGCGGCCTGCACGTGGATGACGCTCTGGCGCGCGGGCGCCGGGGGGCTGCGGCCGGGGAGGGGTCCGCTGGCGCCCGCCCGCCGGTGGCCGCCCCCCGGGGAGGCCACGCCCCCGCCCGCCGCCGCCCGCGCCGCCCGCGCGCCCCCGGGACTCGGGCGCTCTTTGAGTTTGAGCACCAGCTGCGTGGGTTGCGCGGCCGGCGGGCCCGGCGACGCGCGCTCCGCGGCCGGCGCGCTCTCGGCCTCCGGCTTGCGCGGCGCCCGCTTGGCGGTGGAGGTGACCGGGGTGGTGGCGGCGGCGGTGACGGTGGCGGCGGTGGTGACGGTGGTGGCGGCGGCGGCGGCGGCAGCGGCGGCGGCGGCCGCCGTGGCGGCGTCGCGGCGCCGCTGCTCCTGCTCGGCGCTGAAGCGCTCTTGCGCGCTGGTTAGGTAGTAGCCGATCATCTCCTCGTGGAACTGGTGCCGGTGGCTGGTGAGCAGCAGCCCGGCGAAGATGAACTTGCGCTCGCCCTGCATGGCGGCGCGGAGGATGTTGAGGCTGAGCTTCACGTCTGTGCTGTACTTCCACGCGTCGCCCCGCGGCCCGCCGCCCTTGTCGGCCGGCGACGCGCCCGCCGCCTTGTCCGTGGGCGACGGCGTGGTCTTCTCCGACGGCGACGTGCTCGCCGACGCGCCCGACTCCTCCTTGCTGCCTTTGCGCGACTTGCTCTTCTTCTCCTTGGCGCGCTCCGCCGCGTCGCCGTTCTTGCCGTTGGCCGAGTTGGCGCGGCCCATCTTGCCGTGCACCAGGCCGCCCAGGCCGCCCATGTTCTTCTTGAGCTTGATGCCCAGCGTCTTGCTGAAACTGCCCAGCTTGTTGGCCACGGAGTCCGCGCGGGTCTTGTCCTTGTCCTTGCGCTGCTTCTCCTTCTCCTTGTCCTTCCCGTTCTTGCCGTTATTGCTGTTGGAGTTGCTGCACACCGAGTCGCGATCCGAGTCCAGCGAGTCGGCCAGGGACTGCACGTCCTCCCCCGCCGACGCCGTCGGGGACTCCGGCTGGGCCAGGGGAGCCTGGGGGAGGAGGGGAGGAAGGGCAAGGGGGGAACGGGGTTAGCTGTCCCCACGCGGGCCCGGGTAGTGTGTGGGTCTGTGTGTGGGTGTGGGAGCCCCCAGAGGGGGAGCGGGGCGGTGGTGCGTGGCACGGGAGCCCGCGGGTCCCCGTCCCGCTGCCCGAGCCGGGCCGCGGGGCCTGCGGCCGCCCGCCGAGCGCGCCGGCGCCGACCCTCGCCGACAGCGCCATCTAGCGGCCGAGCCCGGGCTGCGCTCACTTGACCTCTGACTCTGCCATTCGGAGCCTGGGGAAGCACGGGCCGAGCGCCCCCGGCGCCTCGGTACAGTGGAGAGGGCAGCAGGACCCGCCTCTGGCTTTCCACCCTTGGCCGTGCTGTGTGCGTGGCCCCACTTTGAGACTAAGGGATGGTGAGCCACTCCAGGGGTTCCGATCTCCGTTTGGGAACACCGAGTGCTAAGTTGGGGGGCTCGGCGGGAAAACTGGAGGCGTGGGGGTGGGGTGGGGTGAAGCCGCACCAGGTAAGGACCACGCCCGGGTGGAGGACACCCGCTGATGGGGACCAGCCAATCAGAAGAGGGCAAGGCCTCGTGGAGCGCGGCCGGGGCCAATCAGCGCGGGGCGGAGGTGGGAGGCGGCCTCACCCCCTCGCGGGCCGAGATTCCTTCCTGCCCACCGCGGCGCGGCTGGGCCCGAGGGTCAGGCCGCCAGCCCGGCTTGTCTGACACCTCGAAGGAGCGGAGGGGGACAGTTTGCGGGGAGGAGGCCTGGGGAGGGGCCGGTGGGAGGCAGCGATGCTCCCTGGGGGCCGGCGGGGCCCTCGCCAGGGTGGGCTGCTGAGAACTCTCCATTTGGCCTGGCCAAGGGTCCGGCTCGCTGCAGCGCGGACCTGGGTCCAGCTGCTCTTAGATCCAGGGCTGCCCACGCCTCGTGCCAGGGCCGGGAAGGAGCATCCTGGCACACCGGAGTGCTCCAGGCATTCAGTTGTATTCCAGTCCATTCCTCTGTGTGTGTGTGTGTGTGTGTGTGTGTGTGGTGCGCACCGGGGGCTTGAACTCAGGGCCTAGGCGCTGTCCCTGAGCTTTTCTGGCTCTAGCACTCTACCCCTTGGGAACCACAGTTCCACTCCCGGCTTTTTTTTGGTGGCGAATTGGAGATGAGAGCCCCACAGGCTCCTCGTGGACTTCGCTGCCTAGGCTGGCTTCGATCCTCCATCCTCAGCCCCCGAGGAGCTAGGATTACAGGTGTGAGCCACCAGTGCCCAGCCTTGGGCCACCTCGGAGGCGGGCTCACACCTGTGCCCTTGGCAGCTGCGGGTGGGAACCCCGTGGGGCCTGATGGCTCCCGGGTGAGGGGGGCAGGGGGGAGGGGGAGGGCAGTGCGTGCTCTGAGCAGGCGGCGCAGACACCCCGGCCCCGGCGGCGCCCCGCCCGGCCTGGCTTTGGAAGCCGGTGTCTGGGGAGGGGATTATTTGCCAGCACGCCTTACAGATCCCTCTCCCTGGGAGTTCCCCGCGGAGATGACACACGCAACAGGTCGGTACTTAAAAACGTGAGTCACCCTCTGCGTGGGGTTGGGGAGCAGCGCCCACCCCGCAGGGGGCAGCCTCCTGGGGTAGGCAGGTGGGCCGCGGGGAGCGCGCTGCCCCGGCCGGGCCGGGCGCGGGTGGGGGCGCCGCAGGCTGGCGCTCTTGGATGCCGGGCTGTGCCAAGGGACCCCCCCCCCCCCCCCGTCTATAATGAGTTCCCCTCTGCCGCAGCACACCGTGTTCCGATGCCAGCAGAGATAGTTGGGTGGTGTGACTTGCCTGCGGGGTGTTTTCGGGGTGGGCGTGTTGATTCCCACCCTTCGGTAGGAGAGCACGAAAACATAATCCCCTGGCTACGCGCGCCCCGGGTTCCCACCGCTGTCCCCAGCCAGGGCCGGGGGCGCTGGCCACGCCCGGACTTGGGGCGTCTTTGCCGGGCAGCCAGATGGTGTGGGTGTGGGGGGGGGGACGGGGGCGCGGGGAGCCCCGCGGACGGCGCACCGTGGCCAGGCCGGCGCTGGGCCTGGGGTCGGGGGTGGGCGCACGCGAGTCTCACCCGGGTCTCCGAGGGGATCCGGACCCACGTCACGTTCATGTAGCTGTGGAGAAGGTTCAGCTTGGCTTCTAGCGACAGGATGAAGCTGATGTAAGAGAAGACTGAGTGAAAAGGCCGGAGCTGGCCCCCGGACGGACGCACGGACGGACAGACAGCGGGCGCAAGGAAGGACAGGGCGGCCTTCTCCGGGGGAGCGCCGGGCCGCCCGCCCCCTCCCCCTCCTCTAACTCCTTCCCCTCCTCCCTTCCCCCTTCTCTTCCTCCCCCGGTCCTCCCCGGCCTCTCTCCTCCCCCTCCCCCTGTCCTCTCCCTCCCCTCCCCCTCCCCTCCCCCTGTCCTCCCCCTCCCCCTGTCCTCTCCCTCCCCTTCCCCTCCCCTCCCCCTATCCTCTCCCTCCCCCTGTCCTCTCCCTCCCCCTGTCCTCCTCCTCCCCTCCCCTGTCCTCCCCCTCCCCCGTCCTCTCCCTCCCCCTGTCCTCCCTCCCCTCCCCTCCCCTGCCCCCCCCCAGGGCGCGGGGACGGGCGGGCGGCTCTTACTGCGCCAGCCTGGCGTTGTCGTTGTCGTCTTTCCCCCACTCCCAGTCCTTCCCCGGGTCCACGGCGAAGTGCAGCGGTAGCAGCTTGTGTTCCGAGTCCGTCAGGGGGATCACGGCTGCAAGAGAGGAGACACGCGTGGCGCCCAGGGCCAGCTGGGAGCGGGGGTGGCTCGGATGGAGGACCGGTGTCCCCGGGAGACAGGCGGAGTGGAGCGCGGGGGAGCTGGAGCTGGAGACCACAGGCTTCCCAAGTGGTAGTTACAACGGGGAGCTTTTTTATTTTTTTGCTCAGGGCTGGTTGCTCTGCACCCCCCCCTCCAGCCTTTTGCTGGTTAACCGGAGATGAAAGTCTCATGGATTCCTCCCCCCCCCCCCACCTTTGAACTGCCATCCTCAGGTCTCAGCCTCTGGGGTAGCTAGGATTCCAGGTGAGAGCCACCAGCCCCGTGCTAGAACTGCGATGATATCTCCAAGAGCAGTTGGAGGCTTCATCTGGACCCTGGGTATCTTTGGATCTGCTGGAGGGCGGGCGCCCTTCTAGGCATCTGCCTCTGTTATTTCTAAGGGGTGTGTGTGTGTGTGCTACACTGGGCCCGAGCACTTTGCCCCCTGTGCGTGGCCTGCTCCCCTGCCCAGGGCGTCAGTGCCTGGGAACTAGGCAGCCACCCGCCAAGAGGAAACTCAGCGGTGCTGGGAACAGATCAGCGGTTTAACCAACACGTCCAAAAACCAGGGAAGGAAGGGAAAACAAGAGGCAAGGGAGGTGTCCTGCAGGTGTCTGCTAGGAGCTCCTGAGCTGATGTAGGACCCAGAAAGGGGGCGGGCAGGGTCCCTAATATCTGCTGGACTTCTTCTAAGGACGCTGTCAGGAGTCAGCAGGAAGAAGAACCAATACAGCGTCCTTCTTGGGGGCCTCCACCCTCCCTCCTGACAGGGAGAACTCCCAATACTGGCTTGTCTGCTAAGAAAACTGAACATTTGACTCAATGCTGCCCTCTAGTGTCACTCAAGAGAAATAGCACAAATGACCTTTCCCTCCCCCATTCTCACCCCAAATGAGGTCAGCCAGAGCAGTGCAGGATCTGGTTGGGGGAGGCTCTGCCTTGATGTGTCCACTCTTCTGGGATGGACACACCCAGAGAAGCCTGCAGGGCCAGCTCAGGGGCCGGCTGCCCTGGGGGTGATGTCCAGGAGTCTGTCCCGTGGTTCCACAAGTCACTACACAAGCATGGATGGCTGGGCCTGGCTTCCCACCCGGGAGTCGGGGTGGGTGAGGCAGAGGCTTTTCTTCCCTGTTCACTGTGGCCCACGTGCTAGATCAGCACAGCTCCCTGAAGTCTGCAAGGACTACTCTGAGAGTCCCAGCTGAAGACCCAAGAATTAACATTCCAAATACCCATCTTGTCACTCTGAAAACAATCAGGCAGTGTTAGACAGTAATAATCTGTTGGAGGCAGTTCTTGGGGGGGGGGCAGTGTGTGTATTTCAGGTCTGGCTGTCAACCTCCTTCGGGGGTTGAGCTATGACTGCACCCTCCTGCCCCCTGCGCCCTGGCATCTGTACCCAGGGACTGTGACGTGGGAAGGTGGTGGGGCGTGGCTAGGGCTGAGGATACTCGCCCCTCCTCCCTTCTCCATCTGTGCTGCCTAGAGAAGGTGGCGACAAGGCCACATGCGTGGGTCTTGGATCCCTGAGGGGAGAGGAGCTGCCTGTCAGCCGGGAACACTGGTAACAGACTTTTATCTGCGTTAGAGCCCAACCTCTTCTGTATGAAGTAATGATCTGTTCCCGTTTTGATTTGTTCCCGATAAACTAGGCCATCTCCACACCCCCATCTTCCTCACCTTCCTGTTCAAGGGGCTCAGGGGAATTCTGATCCTCAGTTGCTGTGCTGGAACCGAGGTGCTGCTGGTCTCAGCAACCAGGAGGTGGTGAAATACCTTCAGGTGCTAGTGCCTGCCACCTCCAGGGGTCCCCGCTACCTCTCAGGCCCTGGGCAAGATGCTAGAGGTATCTGTTGGAAACTGGTTACACTCAGGAGATAAAACCAAAGCTTTCTGGGCTGGGAAGGTGGCTCAGTGGCAGAGTGCTTGCCTCACATGCATGAGGCCCTGGGTTCGATTCCTCAGCACCACATAAGCAGAAAAAGCTGGAAGTGGCTCAAATGGTAGAGTGCTAGCCTTGAGCTGAAGAGCTGAGGGACAGCGCCCAGGCCCAGAGTTCAGGCCCCATGACCAACAGAGCTTTCTTAGCTGGGTGCTGGGGCCTCACTCCTGTAATCCTAGCTACTCACAAGATCTACTGAGATCTAAGGATTGAGTTTCGAAGCCAGCCTAGATAGGAAAGTCTGTGAGAATCTTATCTCTAATTAATTACTAAAAAGCCAGAAGTGGATGTGAGGTTCAAGTGGTAGTGCTCTAATCTTGAGCAAAAAAGCTCAGGGACAGTGCCCAGGCCCTTAGTTCAGGCCCCAGGACAGACAGACAGACAGAAACACACACACACACACACACACCACCACCACCACCACCACCACCACCAACAACAACAAAAAACCACAAAGAGCCGGATACTAGTGGCTCATGCCTGTAATCCTAGTGACTCAGGAGGCTAAAATTTGAAGATCGCAGTTCAAAGCCAGCTGGGGTAGGAAAGTCTGTGTAATTCTTATCTCCAATGAACCACCAGAAAACTGGAAGTGGTGCTGTGGCTCACAGTGATAAAGTGCTAGCCTAGAGCAAAAAAGCTCAGGAACAGTGCCCAGGGTGGGAGTTCAAGCCCCATGTTGACAAAAAACAAACACTCTCCCCCCCAAAGCCTTCTAATCTCTGCAGAGGGCAAGCTGTTTGCCAGTTGGAGGGCTCCAAGGACCTGTACTAGGGAGGATGCATGCTAGGGAGACCCCCAAAACAGGCTTTCCTCATGAGTACTGATTTCACTGAGCATTTCTGTCATTCAGGGTGCAAGGTGAAAATCCCCATTGGAAACCTGGCCTCACCCAGGGAGAGGTATAGCCAAGTGGCAGACTGCCCTCTGGTGGCAGCTATTAAGAATAGCAGATGCTTTCAAGAGTTTTGTTTCTTTTCTTTCTTTTTCTTTTCTTTTTTGGTCTCTCTGGTATCTTTTCGCCCTGGAAACATATAGGCACAATTTCAACCTAGCTTGAACATAGTCTGAATACTTATTTTCTGAAGAAGAAGGAGCGTTTTTGTGTAAGACATAAAAAGCCATGTCACCATTACAAGGCAAATTCACAGCTTGTCTTAAACAGACCAGAGAGCAGAGGCTCCAACATAATTCAGCTAGCTCAAAAATCTAAGGACAAGCAGATGCTTTCAAGGAGAGACAGACATGAGCTTAAGGGGGTGGGGTGGGGAACTCAGCTAGAGGTCTGGAGGAAGAATTCAGCTAAAATAGCTGAACTTGTAAAGGAAGAATGTGGGCCAGTTAGACAATATAGACCCTGGCGAGTTAAGACATAAGAAACTTGCATGCTCTGACCCTGGGCCTCACCTGCTGTTCACAAAGAAGATGGACAAGAACTCTATGAGAGTGTCTCTCAGGTTCTTGTCCTCTGCATTAAGGAAGGAAAGCTTCTGGGGCAGAGGTTGAGCTACAGGCACCAAGTTCATTGGGACAGTGTTCTCTTACTGCTCTGATGAAGCACATCTGTCTGTCTTAGACAGGTGTAGTATCTCTATGCCTTAGGAAGGATGACATCCTGCAGCTGTCTTGACTAGACTGATTCATACCTGGACACTAAAAGCCAAATAATAGGGGTGTGTGTGTGTGTGTGTGTGTGTGTGTGTGTGTGTGAGAGAGAGAGAGAGAGAGAGAGAGAGAGAGAGAGAGAGAGAGAGAGAGAGAGAGAGAGACTTTTCCAGGAGTAAAAGCGATTTACACCTCAGTCTTACTATCTTTTAAGATGGTGACTAGCTTTTAAAACAACAACAACAAAAAACTATGAGGAATAAGAAAGGAAATATATAAAACACAACGCATTGATAAGACACAAAGCAGTGGACAGAATGAACTTCAGATGTGACACAGGTGTTGAAATGATGGGCAGACAATTAAAAATAACCAACAGAGCTGGGCACCAGTGGCTCACGCCTATAATCCTAGCTACTCAGGAGGCTGAGATCTATGGATCGCCATTCGAAGCCAGCCAGGGCGGAAAAGTCTATGAGACTCTTATCTCCAATTAGCCACCAGAAAACCAGAAGTGGTGCTGTGGCTCAAGTGGTAGAGTGCTCGCCTTGAACTGAAGAACTCAGGGAAAGCACCCAGGCTGAGTTCAAGCCCCACAACCAACAACAACAACAACAAAAATCCCGAACAAAAAGTAACCAACTGGTAAGTTAGAAGCTGACAGACAAGGTGGATGCCATGGAGGATTTGATGGTTGGTTGCAGCAGAGAGGGGAAATCTCTTACAAGAGAATCAAATGTGAGAAATGAAAACCTAACACAACAGAGCCTAAGAATGGCTTTGAGGGGTTGATCATTGACTTCCCACAGCTTAGTAAAGAATCTGAACATCAGGATGGGTCAATGGAACTCACCCAAACTGAAATACCAAGAGGAAGAAACAAGAGCTGAGGGCAATGACCAAGAGCCTAAGGTCTGTGTGAATGTAGGCCCAAAGGAAGTGTGAGAAAACAAGACAGGAGAAATGCTCAGATTAAGAATGACCTGCAGCCTGGCGCTGGTGGCTCACCCCTGTCATCCTAGCTACTCAGGAAGCTAAGATCAGAAGATCACGGTTCAAAGCCAGCCCAGCCAAGAAAGTCCATGAGACTCTTATCTCCAATAAACCGCTCAGAAAACTGGAGTGGCTCTGTGGCTGAAGCGGTAGAGCGCTTGCCTTGAGCTGAAGAGCTGAAGGACAATGCCCAGGCCCAGAGTTCAAGCCCCGTGACTGCTAAAAAAAAAAAAAAAAAGGAATAACCTAGGAATTTCCAAAATTACGTAGCTCACATCATGGGTCTAGAAGCTGAGGAAACACCAAATATGTAAAATAACAATAAGACGTCTTTATGCATAGCATCTTAAACCTTGTGAAAACCAAAGACAAATAGAGAACATTGAAGACAGAAAAAAAAGACACATACTGGCAAACAAAGGTAAGTACAAGAGATTGTGTGTGTGTGTGTGTGTGTGTGTGTGTGTGTGTGTGTGTGTGTGTGTGTGGTGTGTGTGGTGTGTGTGAGACAGAAGATACCAGTCTTTTAAGGGATGAAAGCAAAGCCTGCTGATTAAGAATCTTATACTCATCCAAGATAAAAAAGCTTTTATGAAGGAGACATAGAAAGGGTAAATGTTTTCTCTTACATATCCATACATATATATATATATATATATATATATATATATATGTAAGCATATGCAGGGTCATATATATCTATACATATAATTATATACAGCTACAAATGTTAATTTAAGTATGGTATATGCATGTGGGTGAGGATTCTAATAGTGTCACTCCTTTGAACAATTAAGAGTTTGACAAAATGAGTATCAGGAAGCTGGAATATGTGTTGTTGGTGGGAGGGGAGGAGAAGGGAGGGAGGAGATGAACGGAGAGAGGGAAGGTGGGCAAAAATGGTCATAATATTCAATGTACACAGGTGAAATGGTATTAGGAAAATTTGAGGGACTGGGTGGGGCCGGGACATTGATCAAGAAGCATTGTACTCACAAACTCATGCTGAATTCAAACTCCTCTGTACAACTACTTAAAGATAATACGTTAAAAAAAGCTTTCTCAAACAAAAATGAGTAAGTTAATTCCTGTCAACTTACACTAGAGGAAATGTTAAGAAGAAAATTCTTCAGGTAGAAGGATTATGGTATCAGTTGAAACTTAAATGTTACATAATTAAGGATGATGGAAACGGCTGGGTACCAGTGGCTGACAACTGTAATCCCAGCTACTTAAGAGGCTGAGATCTGAGGACCATGGTTCCAAGCCAGCCTGGGCAGAAAAGTCCATGAGACTCTTCTCGTCAATCAACCACCCCAAAGCCAGCAGTGGAGCTGTGGCTCCACCGATAGAGTGCTAGCTGATACCCTCTCCCCAGAACAAACAAAAGGACAAAATACACACTCATGAATACACACCCACATATATGTGAAAGGGAGCAGATAGTGAAGTCTCTCTGAGAGTGGTGGACTCATTTGTTTGGTACTTAGATGAAACCTTGTCGTGGACGCTGTTATTTATAGAGAAAACATTTGCACGCATGTGCGTGCGCACACACACACAGAGTCATTTCATGCAAGACCCACGATTGCTGGGCGTACAGTGTGTACACAGCTGTGCACCTGGAGGCGGTTGGCCAGTCCCACTTCCTGTCCTCCTCCTCTGCCCTTCCCAGGGCCCGGCCCCACCCTGTCCCTGCCTCTCAGGAGCCAGGTTGTACCTTGTTCTCGTTGCTGGTCTCTCTGCTCCATGGACACGAGGGCTGAGAAATGTGCTTGATCGTAGGCCAGGACCAGAGGGGAGCAGTGGCATCGGTTTGGGGGCACCTCCAAGGGCAGGTAGATCCCTCCGAATGGGATGGGTGCAAATGCTGCCGACACAAGTCAGGGGTGAGGGCGTGAGGAGGGACACAGACCATGTGAAGACCAGGGTGGGGGTGTTTCCATGGCGACCTATGCTGGGCTGGCCGACTGCCCTGAGACTCACACAGAGCCCCCTGGTGGGGACAACACTGCCATCCAAGATGGCAGTGCACTGACGGGCATCGATGCCCTACCTGGAAATCTATGATTTCTGGGACCTATGTCTTTCTTAGGATTCACTGAAATGTGTGCCAACAAAACTGTATGTATGCCGGGTGCCGGTGGTTCATGCCTGGGATCCTAGCTACTCAGGAGGCTGAGATAGGATCACAGTTCAAAGCCAGCCTGGGCAGGCAAGTCTGTGAGACTCTTATCTCCAATTAACCACTCAGAAAACTGGAAGTGGCACTGTAGCTCAAGTGGTAGAGCACTAGACTTGAGCTGAAGAGCTCAGGGACAGCACCCAGGCTCAGAGTTCAAGCCCCACAAACGACAAAAAACGACAACGAAACTGCATGTGTGCTGGGTGCTGGTGGTTCAAGCCTATAATCCTAGCTACTCAGGAGGCTGAGATCTGAGGATCATGGGTGTGTGTACATTAGGGGCCCAATCCCTGCAAGGCAGTCCCTGCTCCCACCAGAAGGATAAACGAACGAAAAGCAAAAACAAAGCAGAACAACCCCCCTCCCCCCACTATCCCTCTCCCCAAACCCAACCCATCACTACCACCAAGAAAAAACCCCCAAACGCTTGGAATGATGGGAAAGATGCTCAGTGACCCTCTGGAGCTTAGGCATCACGTGCTGCTAGCTGTTTTCTAAGAGGAACTTTCTTACCTTCTCCTCCTGAGTCCCTCAGCATTGTGTCTGCTACCACGACTATGGGACGTCTTAGTATGTGGGCTAAGACGAACACGTGGAACTCCTCCAGGCTCTCGTACACGGGATCCTCAGAGTTGTCCACACTAGGGAACAAAGCAGAGCAAGGCCATCACTGGTCCAGACCGGGAGGGGAAACACAGAGGACTCTGTAGAGGGTCTGAGCTCCTCTTCCTCAGGATCCTATCTCCACAGTCCTGAGCAGCCATGTCAACCTAGGCCAGTAAACACACCATCTACCTACCCATGGTGAATGCCAAGTCCCAGCTCCCTAGCTCTCTTCTAAGGCAGGATGGACTGGAGAGCGGTGAGGGTGAGGGCCGCCATTATGACGAATCTCTGTACGTAGCTCATCAGAGAGTGTGGCAGTTGGGGCAGGGGTGTTTCTCTGGGGTGTTTAACAAGGGTACAGTGGGGCCTGGCAGGATGGAGTCTCTTCTCCTGCTCATCTCCACGCTATACAGCATAGACTGAAAGCATCAACCCTCAGGACTCCAGGATGCCAGGAGCATTAGAGTCTGACTGGTGGCATCCGTGATCATGAACGCCTGAGGAGTCTTTCAGGAAATGCCCAGATGGAAGGAAAGAGGAGGCCTGGATTTCAATCCTGAGAGGTGGCGGAAGGAAGTGGCTCAGAACGTGAGATCTGTCTATGCAGGCCCTCCCCTGCATGGGTCCTCCTGGCTCCTGCTGGGGCTTAGGGAAAGAGAAGAGAAACTGCACCCACCCTCTCCGGGGATCCTGTCTTCCAGCCCAGGAGACCACGAACATGAATGGAGTTCCTCTGGGAAATGCTGGGCTGCTTTAAGGATCTTTTGTTTTCATTGTGACTTGAAGCCACATTTTTAAATAAATAGGGGAAAACTCAAACCCAGCAGCCAGAGTCTTCACAGCCTGGCGTGTACAATGGCGCTGTGGGCATGAGCAGTCACAGGTCCTCTCCAGTGCATGTGGAGCATGGGCACGCTTGTCCTGAAGTGTGCTGCCACCTTGTTCAGAATGTAACACTTGCTATAAGAACATAGGCCAGTCTCACAGTGTAGCGGGGCACCAGTGGCTCATGCCTGTAATCCCACCGATTCAAGAGGCTGAGGTCTGAGGATTGCAATTTGAAACCAGGTTGGACAGAAATGTTGGTGAGGCTCTTTTACTCCAAATAACCACCAAAAAGTTAGAAGTGAGGCTGTGGTTCAAGTGGTAGAGTGCTAGCCTTGAGTGAAAAAGCTAAGGAACAGTGCCCAGGCCTTGAGTTCAAGTCCCAGTCTGGTGCACATGCGCATACACACACAAACAAAAAAAGAAAATGCTGCAATGCTAATACAAAGGGATGTTTGAAAGCTACAATCTTTCTGTCGTCTATACGTGGCGGGGCGGGGAACCATGTTCTTACAACTCTTCTTTCAACACTGTTCTAGGCTGAAGGTGTCTAAAAGTTTGAGGTGTCCTTTGGGGAGCACAGGGGTAGTACTTACCCCCCTCCAGAGCCTCCGTTCTTGCTGAAGTGCGTCCGTGGCTCGCTGGATGCCAGCTTTAGTAGCTCAGTCCACTCTCGCTCCCATTCCTCTTCTGTGTACACCAGCCCTGACTGACGCAGAGGGAGATGGGCTCAGTGGGGGGGCTGGCACTGCAAGACCTTACCATCCTGTCTCTTTCCCTTCCCAGGTAGTCACAGTGGATCACCCATTAGGACCCAGGATTGATGCATCTATCATTGATGGTTCCCTCCCTTGCTAGGACAGTGTGTTTTCAGAAGCCCCATTGAATTTCAGAATTGTTGTAAGTGTACCCATCCACAGTGGGTCATTTCTGGGGGCAGGGATGAGAGAATATTAGCTTGGGGGCTCAGCTGCAGTATAGTGACCCAACCAATGGGAGAAGCACTGAAGAGAGGTGCACCCAGTAGGGAAAAGAATGAAGCAAATCTATTGGTTTATCCATCCATCCATCCATCCCTCCATCCACCCATCTATCCATTCCTCCACTCATCCATCCATCCACCCACCCACCTACCCACCCATCCATTCATCTGTCCATCCACCCACCCATCCATCCATCTGTCCATCCACCCACCCACCCACCCATCCATCCATCTGTCTATCCACCCATCCATCCATCCAAGCACCTGGCTGGGGGCTGACCAATGAACAGTTTACAGTGGCCAAGTTCAGGCAGAAAGCAAGCAGAACTTCTCCTAAGAAAGTAAAGGGCTAATGCCTACTCTAGTTAGGATGACCAGCATTCTCTCTCAATTGAGCTCACACACCGAGGCTGGGGGGGGGGCCGATGGCTGTCACTGACAGAGACCACCATACAATTCCTAATTACACCAGCATGGGAGGTGTCTACCAAGGCTACGCCATGGCCACGGGACTCCTCTGATATGGGCTTCAGTGGAGGAAGGCCTTGCTCATCTCAGCTGAGGACAGACTGGGATTGAGAGAGAGCCAAGCTCTGGACACCAGGGAGGCCAGAGGCTGCACCTGGTGAGGATTCCGGACTCCAGCCAGGCCAGCGGGCACCAACCTCTTTGTTCTGCTGCGTCTGCTGCCATCTCCACCTCCGCTTCAGGGCTTCCCGCTCAGCGCCCGTCCTCATCATGGTGTACAGAGCTTTCCGCAAAACCAGGTCCCGGTCATGAAAACCCCACATCCCTGCAGCCAGAAGCCATGACAGAAGAGAGAGAGGGGGGGTGGGAGAGGGAAGGGGTTATGAAGAACGGGCAAGTCTGGGCCGGTCGGGCTGGCCTGCTGTATCTGTACACTAACACTGGATAGCAGCGTTAGTGAGCTATTTAGTTCTCATTGCTAGATTGCAATGAGGCAGTGCCTCCCTCTCCTAGCAGAACAATATCGGACAAGACAGCTGCTGCTTCGCTCTGAGACCTGTGGCTACCCACCCTCGCTACGCCAGCTTGCTTTGAGAGATGCTATGCTCTCCGTGCAGGTCTTGTGTCTGGGTGACAGACTGCCTCTGGGGACACGTTGATGACATGCTCTCATGTAATGCTCCACTCCAGGATTGCCACTGGCACCCTGGCTTTCTCCAAGGACTGAGGATCTGGTGCCCGAAGCCCGAAGGCTTCTCAACTCTGAGAAACAGTGCATCTGTGGATAGCTCTGCATACATCTGGACCAGGAGAGGGAGCTTGCCTTTCAGGAAGAGGGTCTCCTTGTGTTGCATACTAAAAAGATAAATAAGTCATCTATGAGTGAATGCTCTGCACAGCTGAGACGTGATCAAGAAATGCAACCAATGGGAGGAGCATTGAAGAGAGGTGCAGCCAATAAGGAAAAGAATGAGGGAAATCCATTCATCCATCATCCATCCACTTATCCACCTATTAATCATCCATTCACTTACACATCAATCTATGCATCTATCATCCATCCATCTATCCACCATCTATCCGCTTACCCAGGCATGCATGAATCCATCCTCTATCCATTTATCCTTGCATCCATCTATCCATCCATCTACGCATCCTACCATGCACCCATCCTCTATCCATTTGCCCATTCATCATCATCCATCCAATTACCCATGCAGCCATCCATCCATCCAGCTTCTATCCATCTATCATCCATCCACTTATCCATCCATCTGTGCATGCATCCATGCATTCATCCAAGGTGCTGGGAATATGCAGAACACACATTGTAAGAGAGTGCGAAGTGAGCCAGCCATTAAATGATCCCATAATATATAGTGTCAGCACCTAAAAGAGAGACAAAGCAGATGAAGACAGAGTGGGTGTATTTGTTAATGGAATGAATGGGTGGAGACACCAGAGCCAAGGAGGGAATGGGTGAAGGAAGGAGCTCAGCTGCCATCTCAAGCGACTGAAAGGTCAGGGACAAGGCTCTGTCTAGAGGGTGGCCCATTTAGCATACTTGAAAAAGGCAAGAGGGAAAGGTAGCTAGAGCCAGGATGGTTGAGATGAGGCAGAGAGGAAACAGAGGATTTCAAGTGAGCTGGGAGGTTCCAGAGGGTGTGACCGGAACTGCGTCCTGTTTGTAGAGGCTCAGGCTGCCAGTGATCCCTAGATGTTCAGTAGCCAAAGATTTCTGTGGGCTGAGTAGCTGCCCAGGCTTTGGTCTTTCTATCTAGGACAGATGGCTTATCCTCAGGCCTCGATCAGCTGCCTTCCGGGACACTCCAGGCACCTGCAGCTCTCTGAACGCAAGTGCCTCTCACATACAGAATCTCCTTGTTTGCCTCAAAGCTTTGCTCCTAGCTCAGTGACAGCAGATGTTCAACAAGCGTGTGGTGACTGGTCAATCCTGGTTCTGTGGAGTTTAGCTAGGCCAACACAAAATGGAAGCAAAGTGAAGGCTGAGTACCCTTTTTTGAAATGCTTGGGGCCAGGTGTTTGGATTTTAGGTTTGTTCAGACTTACGGGTATAGGATCAAAGTCTAAGCGTGAAATACATTTGTTTTATTCTCCCCAAAACATTATACACAGAGCCTGAAGGTAATTTATGTTTTAATAACTGGGTGAATAAAATAATTTTGTGGCACAGATTTCTCTACCTGCAGGATTTAGTTGGCACTCAAAAAAAAGTTGGATTTTGGATTTTCAGATTAGGGTTGCTCCACACGTACTAGGATAAAAAGATCAATGGCGTATGAGCTACACATTAGCACTCTACCACTTTGAGCCAAAGTGCCACTTCCTGTCTTCTGGTTGTTCATTGGAGATGAGTCTCATGGACCTCCCTGGGGTTGGTTTGAACTGCGATCTTTAGATCTCAGCCTCCTGAGTAGCTAGGATGACAGGCGTGAGCCACTGGCACCCATTTCTTTCTATCTTTCTTTTTTTTTTTTTTGTATTCTTACAAAAGGCCCCGACAGCCCTGCTGGGCCAATGGTTCGTGCTCTCCTGCAGATACCAAGGCTGGAAGGAGGCTTTTCCTTCCTAGGCTGGGAGGCCCATCATGCTCCTGGAAAAACACCATCGGGTGTTGCCACAGTGGCACAGGGCCTTTGCCCTCATGTGGTGCTGGTGGGGACAGCGACTCTATATACTGAAGTGTCTCAAGGATAAAGCCATTGCCAAGTCCGAGACTTTGCAACAAGGTTGCTGTTAGACACATATGAGATAGTCCTTCCTTTTATAATCCTTCTCTAGGGTTTGTATAAAAGTAAAATGTATCCAGTCATAGTAGAAATGTTAGTAATCCTAGACATTATGATGATTAACTACTAAAATCATGTTTATTTTTTTTAAAATGAGAATAATAGCATGGAAAATTCTCAATAAAACTTTAAAGTAGCTACATACCATGACAATTATTATCTGTCAATTCCAAGTAAAACTATAGGAGTTGGAGGCAGTTGGTAGAGTGCTAGCCAATAAGCAAAAGTGGCAGGTACTGAGTTCAAGTATCATCTTGGACAAGAAAAAAAGTAAAAGTATATATTGAAAGAAAATTTAAAAAAATTGGATTTTGAGCATGAATACAGTTAAGGATTATAATTGCACTTGAAAAAGTAACAAAAGACCGGAAGGCAACATATCAAATGTTGAAAACAGACAGCACTGAGTACGTAGGATTAATGACTTTTACTTTCTTACCACGGTCAGTGTCCAGCACTTTTGAATGACAATAAGTGAATGTGCTAGTTTTGTCATGGAAAGGAAGCAGCAGAGGGCTGCCTTTGTATTTCTCTTCACTGCAGCCAGGCCCATGCAAATTTCCCTTGTTTCTGGTCTCCAGTCTCCTCTGGGCCTGACCCTGCCTGACCCTGATGCATTTTCCTCCAAACCCTTTTGGGTCTCATCTCAGCCTACCTCTTGTTGAATGGGCTTCACTACAGATCTAAGCAGAGGTCTGGACCTGGTCTGCTCACAGTGCCCCTTAAAGCTACATTTACTTGGGGAAGTGAGGTTGACCAATAAGAAACTACACTTTCCTTTGAGTGACAAAGACTGTCCTCCAGGACTGATGAGGCACAGCTGGCCTGATACCTGGGCCTCTGGTACAAATCCAGATTTGCTATCAAAATAGATGCAGCCTTATGCATGTAAGGCTGGGCCTACCAAAGATGACTGATTTCCGGAAGGTCACTATGACCTTGGTCTCTCTTTATATCGCCAAATACTGTCATCCACACCAATCAATTCTTATCAAAATCTTAGCAAGATTTTCTGCAGAAAGGATTATTAATAATAATCTGGAAGTGTATACATCAGATAAGCAGAAAGAAAAGCATTCATACCCCTTAGATGGGTAGTGAATATACTTAAAAAAACATTAAAGTTACCTGGTGGAATGGCTATTTATGATCCAAAAGCTCACATCTCTGATGGGAAGGTTGGGGATGTATCTTATGTATATTTTGACTGTGTCAAGTCTCCTGGGATTTACCCAAGTGGTACCTATACCACTCTATGCATTAATTTATGTTCATTGTAGACTGCTCTCAATTTGGTAACCCCATAACCAACCAGCCTTGCTCAACCTGATTTTTAATGCACTATTGATTCCTGCCTCTCTCCTTTGTATAGTTTCCCTGCCTGGAATATTCTTTTCTCTTTTCAACTTTTTCAAGTCTTACTAAAGATTCTGCCTCCTCCAGGAAGTCCTGTTTGATGCTGTAGACGACTGTCTCTAATTCCCATTTGTTTGGCTCCTGCTCACGGGCTGTATCTATCAAGACAGGGATTTTCTCATGTGAATTCAGTCAGATGCTTGACCAGAAGGGCCACGACTGTAGGCTCTATTCCAGAGGACAGTGACACTGGGACTCGACTAGCCTGTGGCTGTATTTGAAGCCCTGCCACGCTCTGCTGTGCCGTGACGCTTACCCAGTGAAGCGGCATGTAAAAGGCAGTTCCCGTCCCCTGTCGTGGCCAAAGGAAGAAGCCGTTTACAGCTTGTGCACACAGTGGACCACCAGTTCAGGCGACCTGGAACAGAAGCTCACTTTAGAACAGCAGCCCAGAAAAGGCAGGGACCAGGTGTGTGTTCTGCTCCATTGTGGCACCCATCAGCGAATGCCAATGCGGAGGCTACGCTTTCTCAAGTAAAACAAAGATCACAAGGATGGGCAAATTCAGGAGGCCTTCTTTTGCATCTTGAGTTTTCTAAATTGTATCTGACAGAAACGACATTTGCAACATTGTCTGTATATCTCAAAGTCTGTAGAGTAAATATTTAAGATAACTGTATTATGAGGAGCAAAAAGACAGGTAAATGTCCACACCAGGCGATTTTAATGAGGTAGATCTAGGTAATATGATATCTAGAACTGCCATTCAAAGTGCTACATGAAAGTTAACACCCCCAAACCAGTTTTAGCAGGATTTCATTGGACACACGTGCAAACCAAGCACTTGGGAGGCTAAGGTAAGAGGATTGAGAGTTTAAGGCAAGTCTAGACTACATAGCAATAACCCTGTTTCAAATAAAACAAAACAGAACAAGGTGGCCCCACAACGCCATCCAATATCCTCAAGAAAATAGTATTATCTACTATCAAAACGAGATGAAAAGGGTACAAATATATATATATATATATCTCACGGATTTGCTGCCCAATTCTTAACAAAATGTAAACAACTAGCATGCAGCAATATATACAAGTAATAATACACCATGACATAGTGGGATATATTCCAGGGATGAGAGGTTGGCTCCACATTTGAAATTGAGTCAATTAAAATAACTCATCCTACTGATGAACTGCAGCAGGGAAAAAAATCACCTAATCAAAATAAGGAGGAAAAATCCATGAATAAAACTCTGGTAAAACTAGGCTTAGAATGGGTGTCTGCAGACCACTTGTCATCCGAGGTACTCAGGAGGCTGAGATCTGAGGATTCAGGTGTAAAGCCTGTCTGGGCAGGAAAGTCTGTGAGACTCTTTTCTCCAATTAACTATCAAAAAGCTGGAAGCAGGACTGTGGCTCATGTGGTAGAGTGCTACTCTTGAGCAAAGGCAGCTCAGGGAGAGTGCCTAAGCTCTGAGTTCAAGCTCCAGGACTGCCACTCCCCCATCCGGCTCCCCCAAAACCACCCAAAACTAAGATTAGAAAGAATTTCCTCAACTTGGTAAAGAACATCTACAAAGGCAATACAGCTAACATAGCAATAATGAAAGACTGCATACTTGACCTCTGTAAGGATGGGGAATAGGAAGGGTGCTTACTCACATTATTATGAATGCTAGAAATCCTAGGCGGTGAAACAGGTAAAAACAAAACAAAACAGAACAGAACGCTAGTACAGATTGGAAAGGAAGGAATAACATTATCCTTATTTGCAGATGACATGATGGTTTATGTAGAAAATCAGAAGGGAAGGATAAACAACTTATAATAATAGTAATAATAATAAGCTAACTTGTACAGTTCATACACATGAATTATATTTCTAAATATACACAAATGAATTGTATTCCTAAATACTAGCATTGAATACATGGGAATACCAATGAAAATATAATAGCAGCACTAAACAATGACTTGGGTATTCTCTAAGATAAAACATTCAGCATTTGAATGTTGAAAATATAAAATTCAAGTGAAAAGAAATTAAAGAGTTAAACAAATGGAGTGGCATACAACTGTTAATAAATTGGTGTGTGTGTGTGTGTGTGTGTGTGTCTGTGTGTTTATGTGTGTCTGTGTGTGTATACACTGGTACTGGGGCTTGAACTCAGACCCTGGGTGTTGTCCCTGAGCTGCTTTTACTCAAGGCTAGTGCTCTACCACTTGAGCCACAGCACTACGTCTAGCTTTTCTGAGTAATTTGTTGAGGAATCTCATGGACTTTCCTGGCTGTCTTTGAACCATCATCCTCAGATCCTGAGTAGCTAGGATTACAGGCTTGAGCTACCAGCACCAGGCAAGAATTATTAATAAAACATGTTAAATGCTTTCAAAGTAGAAACTGTGAAAGATGAAGTATAAATACCGGAAGCAATACTTGCAAATTAAGGCTCTCAAAAGTGTATTTAGAGTCAGAACCAGTGAGTTATTGCCTCAATAACTCACCATGTTGCCAAAGTTTATAATACAAAACCTTGTTGATGCTTTGTTTAACTTGGATCCCTACCTGCTCCCCAATGCTTTTTTTAAAACGGTTAATATTTAGTAATTCTGGTTTAATGTGAAATGGTTTTATTGGCATAAAGTAGCTATGCCCTTAAGTCTAGATGAAATGTATTGAAATGAATGTTATGAAATTAAGATGATATAAAGACGCTAATGTGTATGCTAACAATTGGTATATTCTTACCACCTGCAAATCATCTTATTTAAACGCTAAATGAGAAATGCAATTAAGAGCCTTAATTAACAGTACCACCGGATGGCCTGCAGGAGACATGATCAGAAATAACATGCAATCACTTAGTAACTTCTCTTTCTCTGGGCTGTGGAATAACAACCTGTCTCACCTGACTTTTGAGATGTCTTTTTATAAACATCCAGGCTAGGAAGATATTAAAGTTACATTGCCACAAAGTAAAAGAAAATGACAAGATTCTTGCCTACAAAGACTTAAAACCTACTGGAGTGTCTGGCATGCCTGCGAGCCTGACACATTTAATCTCAAAGTAGGGTGTCCTCATTCACCCCGAGAACTGGATCTGAGCAGCTTCTGACAACAGCCAAGGGGAAATGGGGGAGGGAGTGGCGGTGGGGAGGGGGAAGGGCATGCGCTCAGGCAAGTGGTCTGCATTTATGAGGCAGGTTGATCCAAAGCCATGTTCGCTGATGGAGCTAAGCCCCTCTGCGGAGCCCATGGGATGAATATTGACTGGCCCACCACCATCCATGCCACTACAATGCCTTTGCTGGGGACTGGCACTGTGTGGCTGAGCTCTATCGCCTGACCCGTGAGATGAACTGCTAGGAAGGTATTGCTCGTTCGTCTAACTGAACTGTCAGCTAAAGGCATGTGTCTGACCCAGTCATAGCCAGGCTGGGTCTCCGGATGGAGCTAGAGGGGAAGGAGGACAGGAGGTTGGTATGTGGGTTCTTGAGCAGTCAGATCTGCCATGAACTTCCCTGTTTTCAGATGGGAGTGTGAGGGTTGATGAATCCGTGGTTTAAAGTCCTTGCTGGCTGGGTGAGTGTCTTCCTGCTTACTGCACAATCAGCCATAAATCTACAATATTTGTGTGTACGTGGGGGTGGGGGTAGGGAGTGAGGTGCACAGAGAAGGAAACAGGCTCAGAGACCACAACGTGCCAACGGTCTATTGTATCCTGGCAGGAGCAATTGTTCACCCAGGACCAGATCATTTTGGGAGAAAGGCTGATCTAATATTCAGTTGGGAGTGGAGAGTTTGTGGCCAGCCAATGTTAGTTCCCTGAACACTTGCGATTTCAAGAACATTATTCTTTAATAAGGAACAAAAGCGGAACTGGAACAAGGTCCAAATCTAAGTGTTCTTGAAGTCATATTCCTGCCCACCAAACTTCCAAAGGATCAGAAAATTTCCCTCTGCCACTGTCTTTCTCCCCATCTCTCTCCCTATTCTTCATTCTCTTCCTCCTCTTTCTCTTCCTTCTCTCTTCCTGCTCCTCTCCTTCTATTTTCTTTTCCATGAAAATTGTAGGAGGCACCAAGACCAATTTACCCATCACTCAGAATCTGATGGGTGTCAGCCCTCTCTCATCTTTTCCTTTTAAAGCGGTGTGAGGGAACATAATGAAACAAAAGAAGCAGTAAAGATGAAGTTCAAGTTCCCTCCACGCACTTCCTCCCATTTCATTCTCATTCTGCCTTTGAATTCGGTCATGTTCTCATGATATCACAGGAAGTTAATAGTGAAAAACACATTATACACTCAAATCTTCAGGGCGACGATACTCCCAGGTGCTGAGAGGCATATGCTGTTCACGATGCTTATTCCTCTGCTCCTGGGTTTTGGGGGGCTTTGCCTTTGCTTCTCCCCCATGGAAGGGAAGTGAGGACTTCTGTTCCTCATACAAGCACTCCAACAGCATACTAATTGCTTCTCTCCCATGTCTTTTCTCTCCCCACCTCAACCTTTGATTATTTCTTCCCAGTCTGGCTCTGTTTCTGCCCTAGTCTGCATGTCTCTGTTTCCAGTGTTCAGGTGCAGCAGGCTGCTCCCCTTCCAATCCCTGTAGGATGTACAGATAGGTTGGCAAGGCCACAGCTCAGGCCTCTCCTTGTTCTAGCCCCTCTGCCTGATACCAATATCCACAGGTGAGCCAGGCTCCTGGGGTCCCTAAGTGTTTACTTGAGGGAGGGAGCTGGGAATTAGCCCTGTTGGGTCATTCAAGACTGGGCTATGGAGCTGCAGGTGTAGCTGGGAGGGGCACTTGCTAATAAGCAACCAATGCATCAGGCCCTGGGTTCCATCACTGCAATAAAAAGAGTAAGAGGAGGAGATGAAGAAGAAAAAAAGAGGAAGAGAAGAATAAGATACATTGTTCAAGACAGCTAGCTATTATACAGAAAATTTGCTTGAAAATAGAGGAACTTTCCCTTCTTTCCCTGCTTTCTTCTTTCCTTTCCCTCTTTCTTTCTGGAGGTACTGAGATTTGAACTGAAGGCCTCATACATGCCAGGCAGGCACTCTATTACTTGAGCCATGTTCCCAGCACAGTCGTGTTCTTCAAAAGGGGCTAGACATAATGACCAAATGTAATACATGGAAATAAAACTGCCAAATGAATATAGACTAGGTATTAGCTAGCTTTGCTAGAGTAGTGCTAATTTTCTTAATAATAATAATCTGGTCACACTGGAGAATATCCTTATTTTAGAAGACAGATGCTTCAGTGAGTGAAGTATCTGCAATAAACATTCAAGTGGTTCAGAAAAATGCATTTATGTGTGTCTACAAAATTCCTGTTGATCTGTATCTTTTTATCTCTGTTTCCATACATATATAAAAAGGTAAATGAAGTGTGACGAAATCCTAAAAAT